ACCCCCCCCCCCCCCCCCCCGGCCAAATCCCCTTCTCACTTGAAGAAACTGTAGAGCGCGGGTTGAATGGGCTTCCAAGCGGGAAGCAACGCCGCCGCCCGAAAGTCCTCCTTCGTCAAGATCACCGCCGCCGCCACCCTTGACCGCCCCCGTGCAAGCGCACCCCCCCCACCATCCTCCTGCGGTGCCCCCCCCCTCTCAGCACCAGCTCCCATGACGCTTTGTCGAGCGCTTCCCCCCTGGAGTCCCCCCCCCCCCGAATCACCGTCTTTGTCGTCATCGGTTGCGGCTATCGGGGTGCCTCCCTTGCGTTTTTGTTTCTTCTTCTTGTTTGGCCCGCTGCTGCTGCTGCCCGTAGCGGCGACCGCGGCGCCCTCCCCGTCTCCCTCATCCTCGTCGCGCCTGCGCTTTTTCTTGGCGCCTTCGCTACTGCTGCCGCTTGCGGTGACCGGAGGTTCCGCTGCGGTCTTGCTCTCCCTCCCGGGGAAAAGGAGGTGCATGAAGGCCGAGTGAAGGCCTTCGAGGGAACACACCTGGTCGATCAGCAACCGACATCGCGGGGGGGGTGGGTGGGACTTAGACGCATGGCATGGTCGGTAGCCCGTTGGCCACGCGTCCCTCGAGAGGACGGAGCATTGTTAGCATTGTTCCCACAGGACCGGTCACCGGTGGCGAAGTTTTCCTTCCTACTTTGCCAAAGGTGGCTCAAGTGGGGGGAAGGGGCGATATCTTCGTTGTCTGCTTCCATAGATACAGTAGTTGCAGGCAGGGGAGGGCAAACTAAACAAATGGGACGCAACAAAAGCATCAAAAACACAGAAATAAAAAAAAAAAAACGAACGGAGGACGTAGGCGGGAACACAAATTAGAGAAGACAACAGGGCACGCGAGAACGACAAAAAACAGAAAAAACACAGCAACTCACCATGAGCTCGTTGTATACTTCGCTGCTTGGGATGCGGAACTTCTGCTGAACGCCGCTGCCGCCGCCCCCGCTGCCAGCCTTTCCCTCGGCGGCCTCGTCGCCTAAATTGCACAAACAAACCAACGGAAGCAGCCCAATCACGACGGATAAAACCAGGTAAACATCCATCAGACATGGGAGAATACGTTCAAGAGAAATCCCCAATACTAGGACAGTCGAGTTTTGTTCTTTTGTTTCGTTGCTATTGCCGGTGGTTGGGGCTATTTCTCGTCGGTGGAGGTGGTGATACTACACTGTGCGTTCGTTGTCTTCGCTTTTGTCTTCACATCCCATAAACCTCTTCTGGCCGTTTCTTAAATGCCATGTCCACATCTACTACAATACATGATGCATGTAAGGGTAACGAACACGGAAGAACGGTAGAGGGACGAACAGACCAAGAGAAGAGCAATTGTTACGCGCTGCCTCCATTGGTTTATATAGAACACATGAGGTCGGGTGTTGATAAATGAGAACCGCATGTCCTGTCGACATGCTTTGCACCCGACTTTTATACTCACAAATTCCCCGTCCACGCATCTCTTTCTTTCTTCTACAGCGGTGTACAAGAAATGCTTACGGCGTACCAGCTGACGGATGACTCACGCCGTCAACATCGGTCCCACGAGACATGTCAGGAGGCACGAGTAGATATTCGTGACAGGCTCACGGCATAACACAGAGTGCAACAACCACGCCACCACGTGTCTGATTCGTTCCGCCTTTCCTACCACTCGCTTCAACGAGTAAGGGGAAGTATGGTGCGCGTGACACCAAGGGTCGAGCAATGAGCAGCAGCGGCAACAACAACAACAACCAACACCAAAAGAGTGGAAGCCGTGAGTGACCCGAGTGGCGGCAAACTGGGCAAAGGTCCAAGACGGGGACTGACCAAGGTGGCAGCCGCAGCGGAAGGCCTTGATCATCCTCCGAACTCCCTGGATGCTCGTTCGGTCGAACGCCTCTTGTCGCATGGCCTTGAGAAGCGGCATCGTCAGAGGTACTCCCCCACCCCTGTTGTCGCCGTTGTTGATGGTGGCACCAACACACAACGTGCGACCCGAACACACAACGCGTCACCGAGAGGGAAGAAAAGGAGAAAAACAAAAAAGAGGGGGAGCAATAGAATAGATATATTAAACGGTGGGAGCGATCAGAGCGATGGAGGGGAGGGGAGGGGAGGGGGGGGGGGATGATGCCGCGAGGCCGTGTTGCTCTGTGTAGCTGACGGCATATCATCCCAAGACAAGCAACACCAGGGCAAAAAAAACGAACGTTCACAAACCAGGTCCGCCGGGAGTATCGGTCGTATACCCGCAGAGCACGAAAATACGTACATTCTATATGAATAGCTGTAATAAGCTGTCACATCAATTCCCGTGTCGTGTTCGTACTGTGAATGAGAGCAGAAAACCGTGCGTGCCCCACCTTCCGGGCGTAACGTTCAGCTAGTAGCTGCAGCTGCGCGAGTGTGTAATGGGACTTGAACGATGCAATCAGGAAAGAGCTGAGCAAAAACAGCGTTCGTTGTTAGAAACGTGGGAGAGCGACCGATGCGAAACTGAAGAGGAACGCTTTCCCTCACCCGCACAAGCCTGCATCTGCTACCTTGGCAGCAGCTGATATGTTCTTCGTAAGGTTCTTCCTTTTTTCTTACATGGGTATTTGGTCTCGTTCTCAGGCGGTATGGTGTTCGCTTCCGACCCTCCCTCGCTAAAAAAAAGTGCATCTCAGAGCTGTAGGTGATTTACCGTCACCACGGTGTCCAAATGCGAATAACCGCTCAAGCTCTTTTCAATTATCCCTGGCAGAGATCGTACTATGCACTTCCCAGCCGCTCACAGGTCTGCCTGCCTTAGAACGTTGCCCGCCACCAACGATTTTTCCGCGGTGTGGGTCATCATCGACTGCCAGAATTTACGGCCAGATATAGCTGTAAGAACGCCCCTTGCCGTCTAGAACATTTGGATGCAACGGGCGCAGAAATACCGAGAGAAAAATAAACCGAAATCTCTGAACTGTAGCGTTTGAACGAGTAACGCTATCGATGGTGTACTAGAACGGCGATAGTCTCGCACAAGGATTGCCACAGAGGCACCACAATCTATTGGCTTCTTCGCCAGAAGAGAGCGAAAAAAACACTTCGATCGCCGGTGATCAAGCCGCCTTGACGAACGATAAACCACGAATACACACAAAAAAAAAACAAGACAAAGGAGAGAGAAAACGAAAGATCACCCACTTGGAAGCTTCCCGAAGGAGTGCCGCCGTGCTCTTGGTGGTAGTCGTCTCCGCCCCTGCCTCTCCGTCCGCCCCCTTTGCAGCCGCACCCCCGCCCTCCCCTCCGTCTCCGTCCTCATCCTCGGAGTCGTCGCTGTCCATCGGGTCGAACTCAAGCAAGGTAGGTTCCTCTTTCTGATGCGGTCGGTGGGTCAATCGAACGTACGAGGGGGGGGGGGGGGGGGGGGGCACTCGATATTGCGAAGAGCATGCATGCACATCATGGCCAAACGTAAGTGGTAGGAGGGGATTCTATTGCATGAATTCGTGTCTTCCACTATTTGTTGTTGGTGCTATTGACTTAAGCAAACAGCCATTGCGATCTGTACTCAGTGCGTCCGCAACATCAGTACTTTCTGTCCTCTAGATCAAGAAAACGGGCCCAATGGGTTGGACATTGTAGCTACCTGTCGTAGGCGGCTCGTTCCCCCCGCTCCCTCCCCCATTCCTCCCAAAAAGAAAGCCTCCGCGGGACCAAAACGAACCTTACCTGCAAGAAACTGTAAAACTCTGGGTCGGTTTCCGCCAGCCCCTTCAGATCCATCGCGCTAGCGTTCGCGTCCTCGTCGTCGCTGTCGCTTTCATCTTCCCCGAGTATCCCACCTAACACAACGGGGATTGTACCACCGTGCCATCAGTTAAGCAGGTCGACAACGGACCTGTCGAGACGCAGCAACAATCGCGACATGGAACATGCAACCTACACGCGAAACACACACCAACCCGTGGATGGACCATTCGAGAAAATCACGAATCGCGGGTAAGGTTTCCTTTACAAGCTCGACAAGACATGAATTCCAAGACAGAAAATACACGCTTTTCAGGCTGGGCAAAGGCACGGCTGTCTTGAAACTCGTCCTGCACCGCTGCAATCACCACCTACCGTCGCCACCTTCATCATCTTCGTCATCACTGCTGCTGCCGTCAACGCCGTCGTTGTCACCGCTACTGCTGTCATTATCGCCGCCGCCGCCCTCCAACTCCCGTTCCGCGTCGTCCGCCTTGTCCTCGTCGTCGGGATCGCATGCCATGGACATGAAGCCGCCGCTCAAGAAATCGTCCGCATCCAAATCGGCGACGTTGCCGCCATCTTCGCCGCCGGTAGTGGCGGGTTCCTTCTTCTTTCCTAGATGTCGAGAAGCAGGAGTTCGAGGGAGCTGTCAGGAGAAGGGGAGGCATGGAGTTACACTAATCGTTTTCACGTGGTGTTGTCCTGGTAGGCCGTCATGTTATCTGCCTCCTGCATTGCAGGACGGGGCAGAAAACTCCGCCGTTCGAGTCCTGCATGTGCTCAATCATCAGGGGTGGCGGTTGTCTTATGTAGATGAGTGCCGGCCAGAGAACACAGCTGGCCGGTGCATGTGTAGGCTCAGCTGTAGCCGCACGTGTCTGCCTCCGTCCTTGCAACACCTGGACAGAGCAGGGAACACAGGAGTTCCGATTTCGAGGTGCAGCGACACGTCCTCCACGGCGCACAGAGCCTGCCGTTGCGTGTGTACACAGCTCAAAGAGTCGCACAGTCGTACATTCACACTTACCTTGCGGCATCAACCGGCCACAGCAGTAGTGCTCCGCAACCATGCGACAACAAACAGGAGGGCGTCAAGCAGGACTCATGTTTGAATCAGCAACGCTCGGTACCATCATGAAGCTGGCCGCTGAGATCAACACCACCGCCACTCTCTCGCCCCTCTGTGATGCTCACCATTCCTTCCGTGTGTTCCCCTGGCGGCTGTTGTGTCTTTCTTCCTGCCACCGCCCTTCCCCTTGGATGTCGAGCCCTGCCCACCTGGCAAGGCGTCAGGAGCGACGACACTCGCGGCCTTCTCCTTGTTGCTAGGTTCGAGCTGTTGCTGCCGCTGCTGCTGTCGCCGCTGCTTCTCGTGGCTGGCAGCTCCCTTGCCTTCCACTGTTGCTTTCGAACTCCCGGCCTCTGCCTCTGGTGCTGGGTCAGCAGCAGATTTCGGGGACGCTGCCGCCGCCCGTCTTGCTTTACGATTTCGCCCCTTTGGTGTCGGCATCCTGTGTCGGTGCTTGTCGCGTGGGTGCTTTGGTGTTCGTATTCCCCACCTACAGCTCCACGCGCCACGAGACCAGAGACCACCAGTCTTTGCACCCGCGTTCACGGGTTCGCGAGGCGAACCAGAAACCAAACCAGGTTCAGAGCGGGGGTATTTTCCTGATTGTGGACACCGCACACGGCACCCGCGTAAGCGTACGGTAGTAGGCGTGTGGCGGCGTAGCCCTGGCAGCCCTGGCCGTGGCAAGCTGGTTCCGTCTTGCTTTGCTCGTGCTGTGCCAGGCACCAGCTTGTTCGCCCAGTGCGGTGAGTGGATGGTCTTGCGGCTTGCCTGGCGGCTTGCACCCCGCACTGCGCGAACCACTCTCTCCGCTTCTCAAGTTCAGGGAGCAAGTTTTCCGACGTTGTCAAATCAGCTTATTCACGGTGTAGATCCACCGCACCTGCTCTGTGTTTTCATGTTTCAGGTGCTTGGTTTTCCATCATGGCTGCTGTCGGACTGGAAGATACGCTCGAGGTGGATCCCCTCCATGTGGGCCTAATTGCCGTCAGGAACGTCAAGGGAATCAAGCATGGGGGCATGAGCGAAATGCCGGGCCTGTCACCTCAAGCCTCGCGGTTCTGCCGGTTTACCCCGGAGGTGAGTCTCTGCTGTTCTCGTCGGTCCTGCGAACCGCCGTGCAAGGTAGATGTTGGGTATGGTACTGCTGTAGCAGGCGGCTCTTTTTAAATACATGTAGAATGTTTCGGCAAAACTGCACAGCCGAAACGCAGTTCTGATATGACCTCTACCTTTTGGCGATTGTGGATACTGTTTCGCAGTGAGCGGAGGGCACGCTCGAAGGGGGAACCCCTTGGGTCGGGAACCCCCGACGTCTCGCCTCGTTCTAGTCTGGATATTGGACGCCTCTCTCGGGAATGGAGGTGTGGTGCGAGTCTTGACGCTGACGAAAACCGCGTACCTAGATTACACTTACCGTAAGAGTCGGAGAGTTGGCACCGGGTGCGATCGTTTTTTAAATGTTTTTTCCTCGGTTTTTTTATCTCACCCAGGTGCCATCTCTCCGACCCCGGTGCGGAAATGCAATTAAATAATTTCGTTTAGAATTTTCAAGGCACCCCGGTGCGATCTCTCCGACCGGTGCGATCCCCGGTGAAATAAATACACACAGGTGTTGCGGGGGGGTGGGGAGAAGGAAGGAGAGTAGACGGAGTTGTGACAATCGGTAGTTGACAATCCTATTGATCAGTATAGAACCACACGTTTAGGTACCGTTGTTGTTGGTTGGAAGCACACCGGTAACAGCAACGTAGGCGGGCACGTAACAGCTTTCCATGCAGCGAGTGGTCTTGTGTTTGATGCGAGTTTGGCTATGGCGTGACAACAACAAACCATGTCGTTTCCATCTGAGGTGGTACCAGTACACACGGTATCAATTGTTTCCCGCTTCCGTTTCGGTCTTCTTCCACGGATACCAGTACGTACGCAGAAGTACAATTGTTTCGGGTTATGTAAGGTGGGGTAGGGTGCGGCTTGTATGTTGTGTGTTTGGTTGAGTGTACCGTTGGCAACTTCCATACCAATAAAAATATGAAAACAACTGGCATCCCGCATGAACCGCGACCATCCAATCGTACGTAAAGGAGTGGCGCTCCGCTGACTCCGTCCCCACGTGTAAAAGGTACGCACATGTACCTCATTCCGGCAGCTGAAAAGGAGTTCAATCTTGGATTGGGGGGTCGGTGAGATCACACCGGGTGCGATCTCACCGACCCCGGTGCGTAAATCGAATTAAATGTTCATTTCTCGGGTTTTTATCACACCCCGGTGCCATCTCTCCGACCGGTGCCAACTTTCCGACTCTTACGGTAGTACGGGCTTATCAAGTGTGTGGAAAGAGAAAGGCCCAAATCTCTGTCTGCAGCTACAGCAGTAGTGCGTACGACAAGAGATATTCTATTGCGAGTTACGTCCGATGTACGTAAGCAAAGCACCTGATGCGATCTTGCAGTCGGTCACGGGAGTAACTCAGAGCACAGCGTATCCGCACGTCGTGCGTTGCGACACGGCCTATACTGCCGGTGGCAAGCAACCTCCGTGAGAGAGTCGTGCCGGCGGGCTCTTGCACGAGGCGTTCCCAGGGGAAAAAACTGTTAAAAAAAAATAGTTATTTAATCGGAGAGACCGAAAGAAATACAGAGTGAGAGGATGGGGGTAGCACGTGGGCTGCACCATCCAAGCAAAGTATACCGACGGAAACACACTTAAACATATATCCCAACGTGTCAACCAACCAGGCAATATGACCCCTTGGGTAAAGACCCGACTGATGTCGTCTCATTGCGTGCACGAAACGTTCTCAACATAAGGGTGACCAATCTTGTGCTACGCATCAACTAGTCGCCAGCAGCAAGTAATTCTAGCGACGAACGTATGTGCGTTATACGACTCAGCAAGCTGTGATACAGTCAGAATGACAGCTGCTGAACATACGCATGTCAAGAACAAAGTCAAGCTCACCACAAGGAAACTTCTGTAATAGAAAATGATAAAAACTAAGACGGGTAACCGAATAGACTTTTCCTGTCGAAATCACGCTGCCTGTCCAGCAGTATATCAAACACAGAATGTACGCCTGCACTACTGCGTCGTGTCTTGGTACGGAGGTGGGCGACATTGTACGTATCGCTGTGTACCTATAGTTATCGCATGTACAAATGCGATGTACATATCTAACATACTCATGCGAACGTCGAGTGGGCTTTTTAAGCCAAACACGGGCAAACATGTTCCTTCACTACATTTTGCTTCTTTCCTTCTTTCATTTCACATGGATGGACTCTTATCCAGGCTTATACAATCCTTCTTGATCACCGCGACCAACTCCTATCATACTCGACCCCACACATACATATATACCCTCCCTGGGGAAAGAAGGAAAGGGCTTCAGATGAGGCCGGGGCTACCCCCGGGCCAACATATTGAGAAGAAACCGGAGATCGTTAACTCTACACCCAAGGAAAAAACGGAAATGCGGTCGGACAAGAACCTGGGGCTAAAACAACGTGGGAATTGAACATCAGTTTGAGAATTTGCGCGACAGACACGAAAGACCTAGGGACTTCAGAATCATCGGGAAAAATCACAGTCTTCTTCTGATTATTTTCCAATAACCTACCTGGTTGACGTTGTCGCAACCTCATCTGCAAACCCCATCGAAGCCGCTCCTCAAAACCTCTTGAGCTGTCAAAACATAAGAATCACCCCAGGCAAGTGCCTTCATAAAATTACCGCCTCTGCGAAAAACGGCGGGCACTCACAATAAGGATTGGACGACGGGCAACAACCCTCTCATACTCCGCCTGGGGGGAACGTGGTACCAGAAAAAAGAACCAACGAAATAATCAGATGCGTGCGGCTGCGAACGACGACAATGATACCACATAACATACTTCTCCTGTTCAAGTAAACTGGCCGATATAGAGCATAAAGACAATTTACCATACGGCCGAACGAACGCGTTTGAACCCAACGCCTTCACTCTAATGAGGGACCCGTTATATTCGTCCCCAGAGCTTGGCCACCAACCCCGTGCCTCCAAAGCGGTCCCCATCGCACAACGAGAGCAAACCCTTGTAGATCTCACGTTAAACTCGATCTTTTGGCCGCCTTTCCGCTCTCTAACAAGCATGTCGCAGTTCCTCGTTTTCCTGGCAAACTGTAAAAGTTCCCCGAGCGAGAACGAAATGTATGGCCCACAGTCCATCATCATAACCCCGTGCTGCCATCCCTGCCGCCGCTGACAAACCTGTAAAAACCTCAACGATCGTCCTCCTTCTACATTGTAGGGGAAATAGTGAGTAATCATGCCACTTTTGGCTGGTTAAATGCGGCCATCTTGAACGAAGTCCGTGCCCAATGCCCCCTCGACGCGGTCTGCCAATCCCCAGAGAAAGCCGGGGGAATTAAGCGGCACAAGAGGCGCAGAGATTACTGATTTAAGGAAAATCGTGAGACTGGTGGCGGAACCTCTCGACACAGGAATTTTTCCATTACACCCAAGAGGACGAAACGACACAAAACCAAACCTCCGCAATCGGACACTTTGTGGCTCGAAGAACTACGGAGAGTGAATGTCAGTGTGGGGTTGGTTGAGGTGCGCGGTGCTTAGCCGTATCACGGGCAGTGATCCTGCACAAACAGACCCACCAGGTGAAGAACGTTCCGAGTAGAAAAAACTTGCACGAGACATTCCAACAGTCATTCGTCTTATTTCAAATCGCGCCCCTGTTCACTCGGATGTCAGTTACCGGTACAGTAGGTGCGGGTGTTGAAAGGCTGGCAAACCTGCCCGACAGTGAAGATTGAGCGCATTTTGTAGGGGTTTCGTGTCTTGCAGGATAAATCATAGGTAATTGGACGGCGCCCTCGACTATAGGGCCATACCATCTACCCAGCGGTACTCTCGGGCGTCTTACAGTCTTCCTGCTGTCCTCGGATCGCCTCCATTCCAGCCATGATCTGCTTGCCGTTGACGTCACGCGTCGGAATGAACGTCTCGCCAAGAATGCCTTTGGCACTGCGACTGACCTGGGCGTGACAGTTCACCGGACGGCCGGGGAGTAATTGTGAAGGTGCTTCTTACAGCCTACAAGCATCTACCTGCAACGTCTTCTTTCAACCCCACACAATGCTTCATCCCTCTACACATAGCTATAGCTACCTGCTCACCTTTGGATGCCAGATGGTACTGAGTGTTGAATGCTACCCGACTCATACCTCATTGTGGTCAACGGCCATGTTCATCTGCCAGGTAAGGTGATCGGGGAGATCGTACTTGTCCGTAGGGTCACGCATGGCGATCTGGTGAAGCCTGCCGTGGCTCAGGCGGACCGTAGCCTTGGGAGTCACTATCTGGAAGGAGGCGTGCTCGGACTGGTGAGTGAATACGCCACCTTCTTCAACCTCGGCGCGAGCCACGTATTCGATGCATTCGTCCATGTTGGTGGCGGTGGGGTCCTTGAGAGAAATACGTGGGCGCAAGGGAAAAGGACGAAAGAACCGTCATATGTAACGAGACCAGCCATGAACTTCATATAGGGGTACCGAAGCCTCTACATTCTTGCTGATCGAAGCTTTCGTGAAACACGATGTTGTAAGCTTGGTGTCTCCACCACCAGCAACTGCGCTTGTCGGCGGAAAAAAATCGGAAATTCTTACCCCGAGGATCCATTCGCCCATGCCCATCGTCGTGCTCAGGCGGCGACCGTGGCGGGCGTTCTCGAGTCTCTTGCGCTCCCAGTACTGTGAGGTGGTCAGCATGTCCGGACATTCCGCGGAATGCGCGAATATACGGCTCAGGGAGACCGATTGAATTGGTTGCCTACACTCAGTTTTCGAACCAAATCTACCCCAAAAGTATCACACGCCGAGTGTCAGCGAGGCAAGGGAAAGCAGGGCTGGAGACCATAGACGAATACATCGGTGTGATACGGCGAAAGGTGAGAAGGTCAAACACATTATCCGCGAACCTTTTCGAAGCCGAACGAGCGGCAGGCTCCAGGAAGGTTAGCCGCCGAGACTTGCACGTCTTGGCCGAGGGAAACCGTCCCGGGGGCGAGCAGATCCTCTTCACCGTCGAGAAACACGCTCAGCGAGCCATCCGCGAGGCATGGGAACAGTCTGGCGGGGCAAGAGCTGTCGAGGTTGTGGGGTTCCCTAACTTCGATTACCACTGAATGGTGAACGCCATTCTCGTCGGTGGCGAGGATAGACAGACCTGTTCGGGTCAACGAGAAAGGCAATGAAGAATATTCGGACGTGGATGGCACGCACGGCCAAGGAGTTGGAACGTTGCCCCTGTTTCCTCGACCATTTCAGCTTGGTCCTAGACACGGGAGATGGCACTCAATCGCTTTGTTCTTGGTGTGTGTTTGCCGTACTCCTTCCGATTGGGATGGGGTTCATTTACCGAAGAAGCGCGTATCAGCGCGTCGTGAGGCACATGAAATAATTAGAGATATATATGGCTGTCGCCATACCGGTGATGTACGTGATCTCGGGTAGGTCGGGGACGGGCGACGTGACCCGCATGTTGATGTGCATGATGTCGTCGGCAATGAGCGAGTACCACGCCCCGTCCTCTCCGGTGAAGTCGAACTTCTGCCCAGAAAAGCCAAACATGTGAGGATCGCCTGGGGAGTGATCAAGAAAGCGTTGGTTGGCATTGATCGCAATAGAAGGCGCAATAATCATAGAAGAACGCTTCCGGTGGGGTTTCTGCCAGATTCAAACAAGCGAGTCCCCGAAACGCGCCCAGTACCCCGGACAGTCCCCATGCGCGGCTACAATAATTGAGTTCCACCACTATTCCGAATCGCTCACATCGAGATTTCGTATTCGTGCTCAAGACGTACTAAATACGTGGCAGTCCCATGCATGCGGGTTCGTCGCCAGGACGACGTGTGTCAAAATGACTCCGGGGCGGCGCGAGGCGGCAAAAAGAGCGCAGCTCACACTTTTCCGTGAAACCCCGGCGATGTGACACTCTGCGAGCCTCCAACGCGCGGACGCCAACAGCGTACGAGAGCACTCTTCAGGTTTTGATTCTGCTCGGTCTGGCCATCTTTCGTTGATGGGGACCATATCAGCACCAACAATCATCAGTGCGCTACTATCCCTCCGGAAACGACTCGTGTACTTCTTCTTCGCTGCGAGTCAGGTAGTCAGGCCGCACACAAGGACTTACGTTACCAGACAACGAGAAGAAACAATACAGCTCGTGGGATGTTTAGAAACTACTGTAGGTCAGAGCAACTTCGAGAGGCAGTCAGCATCTCACCGCAGGCCGTCGGATTGTAGAGGAACTCGTCGTCGCGATCCACGCAAACAAGCCTATCGTCACAGCAAACCTGGTCTGTCTCGCAGTCGCTGTTGTCGTTGTTTGGATCACACGTCACCGGCACCGCTTCAAAGGGAGGTAGAACGGCGGGTGACGTCGGAGAGAACCTTAAAACGGAATTACATCCTTTGAGAGAAAGTCGACCATCTGCAGAAATATGTTGGTTCAGGCCCAATTCAACCCAAGCCTGACGGAACTTTGGTGATGCGTGAAAGGGGCACTGTGCCCGTATTTGAAGTTCGACGCGATGCCGTTTGCCTGAGTGCGCCTTGTGGGGAGATGATCCCGACGAGATAGTGCACGGCCAAGATTGATTGATCAAAACGATCAAGAGAAGCCAACCAGATTCAGATTGCCTGGATCGTTCCTCTCACCACAGGTGTATCCTACGGGCCCAGGGGCGCATTGCAGTTCTTGTTCGCTGCACGGGTTGGAGAAGTCCCCGAATTCACACCCTGCCGGCGTTCCGCGACACACACGCAAAGGATAGCTAGTCTCTCTCATGTTTTGGTTTATGACGGCCAGATTCCGTCAGGCTATTTCGACTACATCATGTCGACTTCATATAGACTATGCAATCGTTGAATGTTCCAAGTACTATCCTGGAAGCCAGCTTCACAATTTCTGCAAGGACCTCCAATATCCCTTGTCAGCACCACGCAGTGGATGCCGTACTTGCTTTCAACTCTTCTCCAATGCGACTCCCATGGAAGGTGGGCTTTGGTACGTTTGGCGTTAGTACCGAGCGAGTTTCCCCGAAAAACAACTTCATAGCCGATTGAAATGTAGAACAGGGCTCTGAAGTTTCAGTCGTAGAATACAGGTAGGGCCATGGAAAAGGGATTCTCATTTGTTGAATACAGCCGCACCCCAACGCTGGTTTGCCCGCCGAACTATCCAACAAATACCGAGAGCAACTGACGTGTACACACTGCAGCAACAACCGACTGTAGTACTCGATTTTCACTGCTATACTGCCCCGCTCGCCGAGCATTCACTGCGCCGCTCATCGAGCAGAGCAATTGCAGGATGCTGAACGAACAAGCACACAGACGAAACACCCAAGACACCAACCAAGTACGCGAATCGTCGCTTGCTGCACGACGACAGTGATGCGCCCAGCCCACAGCGAGGCCTCAACCGAACGTCTGAACACCGGCAAGCTGCTTGTATAAAGGGGTCTGTACTACATGTAAGCGTTTACGCCGCTCCAGCTACTCTGCCACTCACCACATTCCGTGCCGATTTCGTCGTCAACTTGAACATAGCTGCCATGATGTACAGGTTGCGGAAGTTGGACTTAGCGAGAAAGTATCAGATCAGTCACGGCGCAACTTCTTGGGCTGCTAATGCATGGGAGAGGCCTTCCGTTTAACTTTTGTGAGGCTCTGACTCACGGGCCAGGCGCGGCATCATGCCCGCGGCAAATCGGAGCTGCAGATAACCATGTCTTTGCATGTGAACCGTGAGGAGCTGAGTACGCTACACAAGGGCATCAATATATGTTTCAAGGTCTTATCCGTTTTTGACCATACTCAACAATGCTCGTCGGAAAGACCTAAAACAGTTCCTCACGTATTGGTTGATGGCAAGGCCGGCAGGCACTCCAGGTCCGTGTTGTCGTGCAGCCATCTGAGAATCAGCCAACCAAGAATGCAGTTTGCCGGCGAACGAACAGGGAATCAACCAGCACAGACGACAACGTTAGCAAGCCTTCCTCAAGACGGATTGACAGGTGCACCTTCCATTAAAGAGCTGCCGTATCCCTTGACCACGGAAACGGCGCCAAAGTTAGGAGGATGATCCTCCATAGCAGTAGTAGTACTTTTCTCGCCTGTAGTATCAGGGCCGCTCGACAAAATGTGATTGCCTTGTACACGAATCTAGAATGACCAGAAGGTCACCCTACGCGCCCTGATCTATCACTAGACGGCTACGTCCAATTGTCACACGTCAGCTGGCGAACAAGAGGAACCCAGCAGGCAACTCATCGCTATTCCGATGGCGAGTGGAAACCCGTTCGTGCAACCATCTGTCATTGCCGATGGAGTTTCCAGATATCAAAGGGTTCGGAGTGCACCAGATGACCTGCTACTGCTATAGCAATAGGTCCAGCCCATCCAATTAGCATGATAAAGCGAAACAAACCCATATCAACCACTCTCTCGAAGAGATCTGCGGGGAAGGGACTTACAGAGTGTCCAGGGCCTCGAGAGATTCGAATATCCCGGCGGGCAGCGTCGTCAAAGAGTTGGAATTAATGTACCTTTCAAATCGTCAGGGGGATCACGCAAGTCGACGAGGTGTTATAGGAATCCAGGTTTCAAGCGACACTTGGAGTTTCATCTCGGCCATGAAGGGTACACTATTAGCTCGGTGGTGCCGATAGCCGAAGATGAAGGTGTCGGTGAGTGGAAGTACTCAGGTCTTGGATGAATGCACCATCCGATCTGCTTATACAGTTAGATACACAAACAAACGTACGTGTAGTCTTACACCCAGCAGTCACGATGAAATATAAATAGTTTATTCGTACAACAGCGATGAGGAAGGGGTTTCGTCGTCACAATCCTATGAATGAGTCAGACACATTTAGGTACTCTGCCGGCCACCCATCGACACAATTCCTACTATCTTTTACAAACGAACGGGCGCGGGAGTTATCGTGCAACCTCCTGAATGGTCTGGTCGGCGGGTGCAGTGCAGCAAAAAACAGTGATACCCATCGCAATGCCGGCGCCAATTCACATCGGCACCAAAATCCCAGCAACGGCGACATGTTGTTTATGATACTCACAGATAGTTCAGGTCTGGGAGAGAATCGAATATTCCCGCAGGAAGCATCATCAAATCGTTATCGCGAAGCTCCCTGTGAGTTGTTGGAAGCGGGACACACGGCGTCCGAAAGAACAGGTATGTCATCTACTTTGACAGTTGCATCTCAATCGTGAAATGGCACGTTCGCTTTTGAATGTCGATAACCCAACATCTAAGTTGTCTGTGGACTTAGGCAGTTTCTGACCAATGTACCATTCGACCTGCGTAGGTCCCCAATGTAGAAAATGAAGTCAGAGCACCAACTGATTTCACAGTCACCGACAACGCAGGCGATAGGACAGGTTCATTCTTGACGAGTCCGGAAGCAGGCAAAGGCATCAGTGTAGGGTACCAACTAAACTCGTGTTATCGTGGTGAGGGTGTCATTCAAATTGCCGTCGTTCATAACTTCCGCCCGCGATTCGGCCATCAATCCCGTTTGATTCCATATCTGCGGCTCCACGGCAATGACACTTACAGGGTTCTCATGGCAGGCAGAGAATCGAAAATCCCAGCAGGCAGCGTCGTCAGGTCGTTGTAGCCCAGATTTCTGCAGGTTCGTTGGGAGGGCAAGAGAGACGTCTAGAAGGGAAGACGGCGAAGGAGCAAGTATCATCAGCGTCTGATACTGCATATTGGTTGCGTTGGTTGCTATAGCTTGGGAGGCTAGATCGTCGCAAGTGAATTGCTGTAGTGGATTCACGCAACATGTGACAGCATAATTTACAGCCGATTTGCTTCCATACATACTGCATGTAGCATCGTTGTCACCGCTTCGTTTTCCATAATATGCTCACTCTACAGCAGTGTTAGGGATTCGGGTCATTCCCAACGGTTTAGCAAGCAAGTCAAGCACATGTACGGGACCCCTGGGCCATCCGTCCCCACTGAAGTAGAGGACTACGGGGTCAATCAATTCGCCTAAATGGATGCATCAACTCAGCACGTCCATTCGTCACGATACCCATCGAGGTTCATTGGGATAACGGGAAAGCCCGAGCTGCGGTGGTGAAAGCGCGTATAGCCCACGCGAGAAAGCTGACAATGTTCGGGTGAACTCCCGACAACGCATCCGCGCTGAGTAGTGACAACTTTCACGCACGTACCAAAATGTTCAACCACTCGGTGCTGCCGTTCGTCACGATCTAGCAGCCAAGTATCATGCGTTCTTCGGCATGCAGCTGAATGATGCTCACATGTAGATCAGCCGGTTGACGGAATCGAGCATCCCGGCAGGCAACGTCGCCAGCTCGTTGTTAGACAGGTCGCTGTGCGTTTGTCGGGAGGATGACATAGGTCAAGAGGGGGAAGACTAAATAAGTGCCACCCGCTTCTGCTACTGCAGTGAGGTCATGAATATGATCGATAATTCGGGTGGCTCAGTTGTGTGTGATGGGAGCGTAGAGCAGCTCGGCCATGACGGGCCGCACGGGTAGGTAAAGACGTGTAGACGTGGTGAAAAACGTGTTGTATTCATCGGGGGCGTGCTTGAGCTCGTCATTCCATCACGGCATCAAGTCACGCATAACGCTTTAATACCCAGAACGAATCTCCATGAATCTCCACCAATCTACTACACTCCCAAGGAAAACACAAAGAAACTTCTTGTCCCTCCGTAGTTCGTCACTGCAATCCCCGCATATGTATACGCAATATACCACCCCCATGCTATGCTACGAGTATATCGAATAGCCCCCCTGCTCGTATGCATCGTCATGCTCCAACAAAATATCAAAGTCATCCTTATCATACCAGTTCATCCCAAAACAAATCAAAACCAAGACAAAATCGAAAACTCCAACACCAAAACAATACCTCCAAAAACAATCAATCGCATACCAACTCTTCCAAATCATCAAGAAAAATCCCGAACATTAACCTTCCAAAACACTACCATCTCCACTTGACCCTCTCTATCTCTTGTTCAAACTCGTACATATCCTCTCTCTTCCACTCAACGGCAAAGCACGATTTGATCCCAAAACACCTCTGTCACTGCAAATTCATCACAAAGTCTCTGTGCAACGCAAAAGATTCCTTGCTGATAGCCTTCGTCAAGAAATCTGCATGCTGAAACTCCGACGCCACATGAGTAATCGAAATCTCCTTCCTCTCTACCAGTTCCCTGATAAAGTGATGCCGTACATCAATGTGCTTCGAGTTTGAGTTCGTGATCGGGTTGTGCGCAATCTGAATCGCTCCCTGATTATCCTCGAAGATTTGAATGCACGGCATACCTGCATCTGGCAACATAAAACGCCAAACTTGCCTCAAGAAAAGCACCTCCTTCAAGACGTCGGCAATTGCCACATACTCTGCTTCCGTTGTGGAAAGCGTAACGCACTTCTGCGTCCTCGAAAACCAAGTCACACACCCACCCCCACACATCACTAGTCCTCCTGAAACCGACCTACGGTCTGCTGCCTTGCTCGCATAGTCAGCATCCACAAACACCTGCATGCTCATGCCAGTCACCACACCCCTCTCAAATGTAATCCCCATCCAACTCGTCCTACGCACGTACCCTAAAATACCAAGTGCTGCCTTCCAGTGCACCATCTTGGGAGACGCGCAATACCGCGCTACTGCTCGTACTGCATTCGCGATGTCCGGCCTGGTTTGAGTGGCCAACCACATCAGGGATCCTACCAACTCGCGGAAAGGGACATCAGCACACGCTTCGTCCTCGTCAAAGTCGGTGAGCTTCATGCTCACAGGCAAGGGCACACTCTTCCCCCACTCTACGCCGTACTCTGCAGCCAACTCTTCTGCAAACCTTTGCTGCGAGATCCTCAAAAGGCCTCTCTCTAGATCTCTCTGGTAAAAGCACGCGGAGTACCACCTCAACTCCCCAAGGTTCTTCACGGGGACCATCTCGTTGAGGTCTCTGCCAAACTTGTCACATCTCTCCTTCTGCCCTACGGCAAAAATGTCATCCACGTGGACCACGATGATCATGATCACACATCCATCCTCCATAAATCGAAAAACACATGCATCCGCCAAACATTGTACAAATCCTAAAAGTAACAAACACCTCGTCAGGTGCGCATGCCATTGTCGTGACGCCTGCTTCAAACCGTACAGACTCTTGCATAGCTTCACGATCAGTCCAGATAACCTACCACAACCTTGCGGGAGACGCATGAAAACATCCTCTTCAAGCTCAGACTGCACAAACGCCTGCTGAATATCGAAATGACACAAGTCAAGGTTCTGCTCACATGCCAAAGCTGCCAACAAACGCACACTAGACACGGATACGGTGGGTGCAAACAATTCTCCAAAATCAATCGAAGCCCTCTGCATGTCCCCCCGCGCTACAAGTCTTGCCTTGAATTTCGTCGGCCATCCGTACTCGTCTGCCTTACAGTTGAATACCCACTTGGCGTTGATGGAGTTTTCTACTGGTTGCTACACCGGACTAAAAGTACCTGCATCCAACAGACCGAAAAACTCCCGACCGACTGCATCATCCCACAACTCTGAATGTTGAGACCGCATGGCCTCCTTGAACGTTTTCGGCACGCGGAGGTCGCTGGCGAGGCAGTGAGGGAGGTCCGGCATCTTGTCAGGAGGGCGCTTGCCACGAAGAGTGGCTTCCACGTCCTCGCGGGTGGCGAACATTGCTGCGAACATGTGCAGGCCCCCCGGCCCTCCAGCTCCTGCGGCCCCCCCGCTCCCATGGCCTGCTAAACTCGTATCTTGCGGCGGTGGGGGGGCGGGAGGGGCGATGCTGGCGGACGGTGGCAGGTCTCGACGTCCTTGATCGACGGCCTCCCGGGTGGCGAGCGACGAGACGAGCGCATCCTTGCCCATCATCGACAGCAGCCCAAGGCGGTGTTGGAGAGCGGTGCCGCCACCTGACGGCGACGGCGGTTGCTGTTGCTCATCCATGAAGCGCACTCGGTCGCCGCGCGTACGGCCATGCACTCTGGTTTCCTTCTCGCCCAATTCTCTGACCGCTCGCTGTGAAAGCGGCGGGTGAGCGGGAGCGGCGGCGCTTGCGGGCGGGGGTGTCGGCGGTGGACGGGGCGGCGTGGCTGCGGTGGACGGCGGTGCCACTCGAAGACGCCGTGGAGATCGGCGACGCGGCTCCGGACCCTGTGAAGATCGACGGAGAAGTGGGCGGCGGCGAAGCGGTGGTCGCTGTGGGCGGGGTGTAGGTGTACGTCCGCGATGCCCATGGCGGTGGCGGTGCGGCAGCGGCTGCAGGAACGGCGGCGGCCGGCGAGGGCGCCGCGGTGACCGAAGAGCCCCCCCCGCTGGCCGGTACCGGCGCCGGCACGGCGGTGCGGCGGTTGATCCACACGACGTTGTTGGACAGGCAGATCCTTCCGGTGTCGGCGCGGAGAACGACGGCAGTGGCGGCGGAGTGGTTGCGCGCTCCGTGCATGTAGAAGCAACGCACGGATTGGACGTCCGCCTTGCTGGCGCGCTTCACGCGCATCATCCCCTCCTGGAAAAAAGGGACGACGTTGAGCGGCGGTTTACGTCCGAAGAAGGCCTCGAACGGCGACATCCAGGCCGGGTTGGCCGACGTCGCGGAACGGTTGAAGCAGCCGGAGGCCCAGATCGCCGATGCAAGCCACAGCCGGTGTCCGTTGGCGTCCATACCGGGGATAGAGGCGAGGTCGACGTGGCCCATGGAGAGGACGTGGCGACGGGCGGCGTGGCCCCCCTTCATA